GCTAGGCTCCCAGGGGGGGCCTCGTGGTTACCAATGCTTAGGGCCCACCATGGAGAATTAGATCCATCCCTCTCATTTATTTAGGGCAGGCCAACCTTCTCTCTTTGTCTTCCATTTCCTTTCTCGGTGCTTTTTTTCATCCTTTGTCAGCCAGCTGTCTCACTCATGAATGATTCAGGGTTAGGGACTGCATGCTCACCTTGCAATTGTTTGATAATTTTGAAAATGATACTCTGTGGCAGGAGCAATGGGGGTGGATGGGTGCCACATGGAGGTAGAGGGCTGGTATCCCAAGCTCTAGTGGGAGGGACCTGCAGGGCCTCCATGCCCTTCTCAGATCAGATGGGGGTGGGGGTGATGGTGCCTCAGTTTACCCCTTCATCAAAACACTGGGGCAGGGCCAGGTCAGTCCCTCTTCACCTCCTGTGGGCTTACCTTCCTGTTTCAAATGGAAATAGCTTAATAGTTTTGTATTCAGTCACATGTTTGTTTATCCAGTGCCTTGATTACAAAAGCCTCGTGGGGGGTGAGGTATCCAAGGCTTGGGCTTGTACTAGTCACCCCACATCTCCCCTCCCCTTGCAGTCCTCCCAGATTCTCTGACTCTTTTCCCACATTTCCATTGGATTGAGCTGGGGAGGTGGGGGTATCAAAGAGGTTACTCCCAACCCCTCCAAGCTGGAGCCCCTCCCCTGTCCCAGCTGGGTGGCCTGGAGCCACTCCTGGAACTCCTGGAACTCCCTCTGGCCTAAGAATATTCAGAATCTGCCTCCAGCCTGGGTCTAGCAAAGAATGGCCAACTCCCCAGGTCCAAGACTTGGGGCCAGTCTCCCTCCTCCAACTGGGCCCCCTACCTCTTTCTCCTGCCCAGCCACCTGTCTCTGCAAGGTGGGAAGGGGGGCCCCAAGGTGCTTCCCCTGAATCGTCATGGTCAACTCTCAAGGGTCTTATCCTCGACCCCACATATCCAGGGCTCAGCCCTATCCCTCCCCCAGCCCTTATCCGCCCAAAGCAGCTTGGTTTACCCCTCCCCCTCAGGAACCCACCCTCTCCCCAGGCCCTGTCACCACCACCACCCTCCCCCCCCCAGCTAGAGCCGGTTTCTGCCTCCAGCCCCACTCCACCCCAGCCTGATCCACACCTGCTGGGAGCTCAGCCAGGGCTGGTCGACTCCCAATTTTAACTCTTTAATCTTTTGAGTGTGAAATACTATCACTTCCTTTCCCCAGCCCAGAGAGGTTGAGTCAGCTGCCCGAGCCTCTCAGCCTGTAAGACAACCCCCTGGGTTTGACCCAGACTTCTCTGCCTTACCCCTGGCAAACAGTCTGGCCTGTCCACCAAAGAGTCCACATAGAGTGACCACCTGACCCAGCAACACTTCTCCTAGGTGTGTGCTCAAGAGAAATGAAACATGTACACGAACACTTGTACAGGTGTGTTCACAGCAGCCAAAAAGTGGAAACTAAACAAATGGACAAATACAAGTGGTCTATCCACACAGTGAAGTATTACTCAGCCAGGAAAAGGAATGAAGCACTGACACATGCCATAAAGCCAACAGGGCCCCTGCTGTCCCCCTGGCTCAACAGGGCTGGTGCTGACCCTGGCCTCCTAGCCACTGTGTCTGTTAGGCTTAGTCATTGGGAAGTCCCTCCCCTAACTGTCCTCTCAGGAGGGGGTCACCAGGTGCAGCCCACAAAGAGGTATGGGTCAGAGGTCTGTCAAATGGAGACACGATCGAAGGCCCCAAATGGCCCAAGGCCATGTCGGGGCTCCCACTGGGCACTGGGCCTTGCAGGAAGCCTAGGCCTCAGGGAAGATGGACAATAAACGTGAAACTGAGGGCGGCAATATCAGGAGGCTGCAAGGAGCCCTGCAGGAAATGGCCAGAGAGAAAGGCAGGAAGGGGCAGGACAGGGCAGGGCAGCCTCACAGAGCAGCCACCTTTAGTTTGAGGGGGGCAGGCCGGCTACTGGAGGGCTGGAGAGTGTGGAGCAGGGAGCTGCAAGGGCCCTGCCACTGGCTGCTGGATCATGATCCCAAAGGATGTCTCCATGCCCTGACCGCCACCCCCCGCACCCATGAGTGTGACCTTGCTTGGAAAAAGGGTCTGTGCAGGTGTAATTAGATAAGATGAGGTGACACTGGGGTGGGGTGGCCCTAATGCAATGACTGGTGTCTATAAAAAGGGGGATTTGCGTGCAAACAAGGGAGAGGCCACGTGACAACAGGAGGCAGACCAGGGTGATGAGATCCCCAGAGTGGGACTCAGAGGTTGCTGGCACACTGGCAAGATGCCCCCCCCCCCGCCCCGCCTCCACAAAGAACCAGTCTACTAGCACCTGGGTCATGCATGGGCTTCTAGCATACTAAACAGGAAGAGAGTAAACGTGTGGTTTTAAGTCACCAGTTCATGGCTTTTGCTCACGGTAGCCACGAGAAACTCATTCTGCCTTCGAGAAGTGTGGCCAGGCAGGTGGACAGTGGCTGTCTTGCCTGGGCTGGCAACTTTCCCTGGTGACAGGAAAGTTGGCTTGCTTCAGTAGCCCTTGCAAAATTTATGAAAAGGAAGATGTCTTGATAGGAGAGGGAATGTGAGCTGGGCTGTAAGCGATCCGGTGGCCATCTGTTCAGTCGGCCTCCCGCCTGTCCACAGGGTCGTGGGGCCACAGGCACCAGCTGGGACAGGGTCAGGCAGGGGCTCTGGGCTGCCCAGTGTGTCTGTACCCGAGCAGGAGCAGAGACCCAAGTCCTCACTCACTGAGGACTGGGAACCGAGGCCCCGTCCCAGTCACTGCAGTGGAGCCTTTACTTCACAGAGCAAAGTAGCTGCTCTCACCCAGTGATTCTTTTTGTCCCCCTGCTTGGGTGACATCTGATTACATCTGTGGTTGTCACACTGGGGGTGCTCCCAACATCTAGTGGTTGGTGGCCAGGGATGCTGCTCTACACGCCACGGTGCCCAGGGTGGACACCCACAGAGAGTTACTTGTTCGATGTCAGCTGAGTTTAAAGCCCCTGAGTCCTCTGCACATAACCCACCAGAGGCCGGGCTGCACTGTGTGGCGCTCTGGAACTCTGGTAAGAAGGTACTTCTGTAAGGATCCAGGCACAGAGGAAGAAATGTGCCCCCAGCAGGTGGATAGGACTCCAGGACTCGAGGGAGAGTGGCCCTTGTGTTTCATAACAGGTAACATATGAAACCCAAGACTGCCAGCCTCGCGGTGGTGACATTGCTGGCATCAATAGTTTATAGCAGGAACGGACACTTGATCTGGAGTCTCCGAAAGCTGGCTTGGATGGCCTCGGGGACACCTGCCTGGGTGAGGCTCCTAATGACCAACCTGGGATCAAGACAGAGGCTGTCCCTCATCTCAGTCTGAACACGCAATTGTTTGGTGCCCTGGTTCCACAGAAGCCGAACCTTCTTGTAGTAGAGACACTGTCGCCATTTGTTCTTATTTGATGGGCCAAGGGGTGGGTGCTGCTTAGGGGCTAGTCCAAAGGAGGGCTTCTGCTCTCGGCCACTGCAAGGCCCAGAGAATGGGAGAGAGGATGGGAGAGATGATGGGACGGACGATGGGAAGGGGCTGAGCCACTGGCTCCAAGTGCCTTTGCAGTTCTGAATAGACATTTCTGCAAAGACAGACAAATGACCGCTAAGACCATGGCAAGGTGCTCAACACCATGAACCATCAAGGAAACGCTGACCAAACCCACAGTGCGATGACGCCCCATACCCACGGGATGGCCGCATGTGGGGTCTCGGGTGGGTGAGGCTGCGGGGAGGTTGGAGCCCCAGAACACAGCTGCTGGGCTGGGAAGCGGGACTGCTGCCGCCACAAGCAGTGGCAATTCCTCCGAAGGGTGAACATGGAGCTACTGTCTGACCCAGCAATTTCATCGTAGGAGTTTTACGCCAAGGGAAAAACAAACACACATCCTGCCCTGATTGGTGTGGCTCAGTGGGTTGGGTGTTGTCCCACAAACCAAAAGGTCACCAGTTCCATTCCCAGCTAGGGCCTCAGAGCAAGTGCCTGGGTTGCAGGTTCAGTCCCTGGCCAGGGAGCTGGGGAGTCAGGAGAGCCAGCCAATTGATATTTCTTTCTCCCTCTTTCTCCCTCCCTTCCCCTCTCTCTAAAAAAAAATATAAACTCTTAAAAAAGAAGATGCATGTCCACATAAAACTGTACACAAATGTTCACAGCAGCTTGATTCACAACAGCCACAGGTGAGGAGTGTCCCTCGGCAGATGAGTGTGGTCCAGCACGCACTGCAATGGCAGTCGCTACAACATGGATGGACTTTGAGAAAACAAAGTTCAATCAGAGGAGCCAGACACAAAAGGCCACACAGTGTGTGATCCGTTTATGCGGAATGTCCAGAACAGGCACGTCCACAGGGCCAGGAAGTAGATAAGTGGCTGCCAGGGCTGGGGAGGGGGATGGGGAGTGACCGCTGATGGGGACGGGGTTTGCTCTTGTTCCTGAGGCTTTTCTACATAGTTTTATTACTGAGTTTAAAATGTATGTATGTTGAATACTCACTATATACAATTATATAGCCAAATAGAAAAAAAACTAAAAATTACCTGTAAACTTCACTTCGAAAGTCAGTGGTAACCACCTTTAACATCTGAGGCGTTCCTTTCATATTTCCTACATCTATTTATCTTACACGGAAAACAAGTGGAGCCCTAGCTGGTGTGGCTCAGTGGATTGAGCATCAGCCTATGAACCAGAAAGTCACTGGTTCGATCCCCAGTCAGGGCACACCAGGCATGCCTGGGTTGCGGGCCAGGTCCCCAGTTGGGAACATGCAAGAGGCAACAGGTGGAAGTTTCTCTCCCTCTCTTTCCCCTTCCCCCTCTCTCCAAAATATTTTTTAAAAAGAAAATAAGTGGATATGTAATGCAGATATGTGTGTGTACCGGCCTGCATATGTGCATACATACATATGCATACCTTATACATGTTTATATAACACATATAAACCCCATCACGGTAATACTTTCTAAACATTGGTTAGAAATTCAGTATCACTGTAACTAAGTCACACACACCCAGAACACAAAATAAACATGTAAAGCTGCTCTGCCCTATTCCTTGCACGTTCCTGCTGTTCCAAGTTCCCGCTGTTTGCCCCCAGGTTGCTCCCAGACGTTTCCAAGGCCTATATTCCACCTGGGAACCCGCGGGGACAGCACAGCCGTCCTGTGCGTGCTGTAAGGTAGCATCGTGATAGCGACTTCATCTCCGCATCTTCCATCCTTTGTGTTTTAAGTGGTCCTCAGGCCTTTTGTATTCGTTTTTCCATGATACATTTTGCATTTAACAACCAACTTGCTCACGTTAGTGCAGCGAAACATTTAAAACTAGAGCAGAAGAGGAAACGAGCTGTCCCCTGGAATCCAGAGGGAACAAGTGCTGGTGTGTCCGCGGGGATCCCCCTGGGCAGGGGCTTCGAGTTTTATTTTGTAGCTTCATTCTGTTCACCAAAGTGAGACTTGGTTCCTCATTCAGCAGGTTCTCCCTTCCCCTTCTTTTATATCCTGAAACTTTCCAGGTGATATTAACGTTTCCTCTGAAATTCATTTTTATTGTAAAATATGCATAACACAAAGTTTACCCTTTCCACCCCTTTTCAATCATACAGCTCGGGGGTATCACGTACACTCGCATCGTTGTGGAACGGTCACCACCATCCGGAATTTTTCCAACTTTCCAAACTGAAATTCTGGAAGCACCTTCCACATGTGCCAGACTGCTGCTGCCGACAGGCTTGCACCCTCCTCCCGGGCGGCCAGCGGCGGGGGATCTGGGTCCCCCTCTTCACGCGGGTGACACCTCCTTCCCGGTTTCTTTGACCTCAGAATGCACTGGGGTGACAGACATGTTCAGCCCTAAATCCGGGTGCCCACTCAGGGAGGACAGGGGTCAAGCACAATGTTCCTGGCAGCCCCGCCCCACACTCCACAGGACCCAGGAGTCCTCCCAGCCCAGCCGACCCGGGACCTACCCGCCACCTCTCCTGAGCCTCCAGAACCCGAACCTCTGACCAGTGCAACACCCAGGGGTCTCCCTATCAGAACAAGCAACAAGAAAAACCCAGAAAAACTAAGATGATGAAAATCCTTCTTTCTCTAAAATCTACATTTTTTTTTTTTTTTTGAGGAAAGCCTCATTTTCTTTCCCTGCCCCAGCTTCTCTATCTAGCTAACAGAGTTTAAATTCCCAGGAATGATCTTGGAGGAAAATTCTAGAATTCGTTGAGCAAGCACAGGCTCCTTCCTTTTTGCTGAAGATAAAACAGTCCAACCATAAAAACAAACATACCGAATGCTGCTGCTGTTTATCTTCAGAGTGAGGAATGCTGTGTCATTTCCAGACATTGTGGAGGGTTCCAGGAGAGGGGCCTCCACACCGCCAGGCCAGGGCTTCGAACCACTGCTTTGAGTGCCCAGGTCCCTCCAGCAACCCGTGGAGTTCATGGCTGTTTCTCCCCAAGAACCTTTCGTCTCTGGAATCTTCCAGGAGGTTCTTCCCACCCATGAATTCAAACCCTGAGGGGCTCCCCACCAAGACCCCCCAAATGTCTGCCAGAGGGAGCAATCTCCATGACAGCAAAATTCCTTTGTGTTAATAATTTTCTTTATCCCTCGCAAGAAGCACAGAGCCTGGGGCGGCCTCAGGCCCTGTAGGGTCAGGGCTCCGGGAAGGGGACCTGGCGGCATTCCGAGCATTTCTTCCCTGTCCCCACTTGTTTGTTTGTTTGTTTTAAGGGATATGGCCCAGGAACTCCTTTTTCCGTTTGATTTCCGCAGCTGGCAGCATTTCAGGACTTTGTATGTCCTGTCCCAGAGCCGCCAGCTGGCCGAGTCATAGGACATGCTAGCGCCCTCCTAAGCTGTACACCCCAGACATGCCACGCTGGGGTTATTCCGTCCACGTGTATTCTTCTGGCCTGCCTGACCCCAGGCCCGCATGCTCCGTCGCCGGGCAGGCTGGCCATCCATGGCCGACTTGCCTCAGGCCACCTCCCACTCCCCGGCCCATCCCACCCCCATCAAAACTCCGCCCTCTAGCCAGGCCAGTGGTGCCTCCCTCCACTTTGCCACTGAAGGGAGGGAGGCGAACGAGACTTATGCCCTTTGCAGACCAGGCTGGGTGGTGGCAGACACCAAGGCCTGGACTCAGGGGAGAAGGCAGAAGTTCAGATACTGGGTGGACAGGGGCCAGCGCTGGCGACCCACCAGATTCCCAGTGGCAAAACTGAGGCAGGCGTTACAACCGCTCCCCCAAGTCCTCAGCTGCGTCCGCACCCTACTGAGTGTGTATTCACATTCCCAGTGCCTGGGGCACAGTGGGCTCCTCAGAGAGGGATGGACTGACCCAGGTGGAGTCCAGGGGGCAGCAGGTGATTTCAGGAGCTGTTTCACCCCCTGAACCTCAATATGGTCTCTGAAGGGGGGACCAGGGTCACACCATGTAGAGCCGAGGTGTCTGCTTTGCAGAGAGCCCTTGACTCCTAGAGAGGATACCTCCCTCCTGCATGACCTTGACCTCCTCCAGGAAGAAAAGCAGGATAGAAACAGGCAGTGCAGGTCAGGCCTCGCTCCGTCGGGGCACTCGGGGGGGCGTTAGCTGTTCAAAGGAGCCTGTTCTCAGCAAACTGGAGTTGGGGTCCGTGCAGTCCCAGCAGGTGCTGTACTCCGGGCCTTTACTGCTCCCCGGGCCCATTTCTGGGGCCCGCACAGAGTGGCTGCATGGTGGGCAGTCAGAGGGTGTGAGCGGATGGGAATAAGTGGCTCTGAGCACAAGCCTTTTTAAAAAAATTGAGGGGAATGTCCTGATCAGTGTGGCTTGGTTGGGCGTCATCTTGTGAAACTGAAGGTCGCTGGTTGATTTCTGGTCAGGGTACAGGCCCGGATTGCGTGTTTGGGCCCCCAAATGGGGCGTGTACGAGAGGCAACGGATGGATGTCTCTCTCACATCACTGTTTCTTTCCCTCTCTTTCCCCCTCCCTTCCCCTTTCTCTAAAAATAAATGAAATCTTAAAAAAAATAGAATTGAGGTGAAATTCACATAATGTGGCATTAATCATTTTCCAGTGGGATGCAGTATATTTGTAATGCCGTGTAATCATCTCCTCTATCCTGTTCCAGAACATTCTCTCACCCCAAAAAGCAGCCCTGGTGAGCACTTGCTCTCCCAGCCCCTTCCCACCCCTGACACTGACCCCCTGACTGTCCCTGAGGATGGGCCCATCCTGGGACACGTGAGCGGAATCACACGCCGTGTGGCCTTGTGTCTGGCGCCTCTCACTGAGCACCGTGTGTTCGCGCTCCATCCCTGTCCTGGTGAGTGTCGCTCATGAGTCCAGGGTGGGGGGAACCACGTCGTGTTTGTCTGCTCACCTGTGGGTCCACCTCTGACTGCTGTTGGTCTTGCTGCTGTGAACAGTTGGGGGCGCATTCTTGTTTGAATGCCTGCTTTTGGTTATTCGGGGCACGTACCTAGCAGTGGAGTTGCTGGGACACAGGTAACTGTCTAAGTTTGGCATTTTGGAGGAACTACTGACTTCCCCGCGGTGGCCGACCTATTTCACTGCATTCCCACCGCTGAGCAGGATTCTTAGCAGTTTGGACGCACTCGAAGCCCAGGCTCAAGCCCCTGCTTTTGGCCAACCCCACACCCCCACCCGGAGGTCTCACTGGCCGAGTCAGGGCCTGCTTGGCAAGGGTGTGTGTTAGACCAAACGGTGCGTTTTCATCATTTGAGAGCTATGTGCACAGGAGGGAAATTTGGAAATCTGGACAAGTTCGGGCAGCCCCACTTGAGTTACCACCTTGGACTTCGTGGCTGGAAAAACCTGCCAGGGACGTTTGGTGCCCTGCAGTTGTAAAACCAAAGGAAAACACACAGACTGCACGGGGTGCTTATAGTATCTTCGCTCTGGGGAAGCGAAGGGAAGGGAGCTTCCCTTAGAGGGGAAGGGAAGGAGAGAGGGAGAGAAATATCAATGTATGGTTGCTTCTCGTGCATTCCCTGCTAGGAACTGGCCTGCAACTCAGGCATGTGCCCTGACTGGGAATCGAACCACGACCCTTTGGTTCGAAAGCCCGCGCTCAATCCACTGAGCCACACCAGTCAGGGCAAATAATTTTTTTTTAAGTGGGATGCTGAGAAGGGCAGGGAAGGACCCTCCTAACAGTGAAGTCCAGATGTGACACCGGGTTGACAGATAACCCAGTTAAAAATGGGCGGAGGGCTGAATAGACATTCTTGCAAAGGGGACATACAGATGGCCAATGGACATATGAAAAAATGCACAACGTCGCTAATCATAAGGGCAAGTTAAAGCCACAATGAGATGTCCCCTCACACTCATCAGAATGGCCTCTGTCAATAAATCAATAACCAAGTGTTGTCGAGGACGTGGGGGAAAGGGAACCCGCGTGCACTGCTGGTGGGAACGCAGATCGGTGCAGCCACTGTGGAAAACAACATGGAAGTTCCTCAAAAATTAAGACTAGAACTATTTTTTGACTCAGCGATTTCTTTTCTGGGTATTTATCCAAAGAAATCCAAAACACTAATTTGAAAAGATGTAAGTACCCCTATGTTCATTACAGCGTTATTTACCCAGGGTGTGGAAGCGGCTGACGTGCCCATCAGTAGACGAACGGATGAAGAAAATGTACATACAGACACAGAATATTCCTTGGCCATGAGAAGAGCGGAATCTCCCCATTTGGGCAAGATGGGAGGACACGAAGGTACTCTGCTCAGAGAGGAAAGTCAGAGAAAGACGGGCACTGCACGCGCCCACTTACACTGGGAATCTGAGTCAGACTCATGGAAATGGAGAGCAGAACGGCATTCCGGGGCCGGGCCAGGGGGCAGGGACGGGGGTGTCGGTCAAAGGGCGTCCTTGTTCCGCTGGAAAGAGCAGCGTAGTGAACGTGGCCACAGCCCTGTGTTGTGTCCTCGAAATGTGCGGAGCGTACACCTTCAGTGTTCTCATTGCAAGAAGAGGAGAGGTCATTGGTTGAGAGAATGCAGGTGTTAATTAGCCTGATTGCAGTGACCACTTCACGGAGTATACGGCCACCTAACCATCATGTTCTACACCTTAAATACATACAATTCTTTTTTTTTTTTGCTTGGTTGACTTTATCCTTTCATTTGACTGCCGGGTTAACTTCACCGAGTACCCTCTTCTACGTCGTGACCGTGTCGTAACCGTGTCGCAGAGGAGGTGGGAATGAGCACCGAAACAGACCATTTTGGGGTCAAGGAGGCCATGTTTGTCATGGGGGCGATTTTGTGGGGCATTGTGCCTTGTGAGCTGATGGCAAACAGAAGGCAGAAAATTTTCCGTGTGATGTCGGGATGGGAGTCCCCCTGGCTGGAGCACTGTGTGCTTTTAAGGCCCCCGAACCCCGGCCCCACCCCAGTGCCCTTTGATCTGCAGGCAGCCCACAGGGCTCCAGGCCCAGGCTTGGCCTCTGAACAGAGAGGCTGGACTGCGGGCCTGGTGGGGGGGGGCAGCCCCTGTAGGCCCAGTGATGCCCTCTCCAGCCCGGGGTCTTTGCTGAGCCACGTGCAGGGACCAGGATCAGTCCTTCACTTTCAAGAACTGCTCCGGGCGGGACGCAGTCCTGTCCTCCCGATGCTCCTCCTTGCCCTTCCTGCTCTAAAATCGCTGACGCCTTCCCATCACAGTTGCCTCCGTTACTTCTGGCTGTAAGATGTCTTTAATCTGATGTGGAAGGGGTCTCCTGCAGCGATACTGGATGCTGTTCACAGCCTCATCCTCCGAGTTACCAGCGAGACCAGGATACAGTTTTGAGTCTAGGAGGTCATCTCTGGGTCAGCAGAGAAGACAGGTGGGCAGCGAAGCCCCCTGCAGCCTCTTCTTGGGCTCAGGTGTAGGGCAGATCCAGGCGAAGTGGCCGTTGCCCAGAATCCCCGAGGCACCACAAGGCGAGTGGTGGCAGTGAGTCTTCTGTGGTATCATCTGGAAGGGAGACCCGGACCAGAACAGCTTGACCTGGTTTTCCGTGTTTCGGACCCCTGCTCGCAGAGAGACTGCTGGTCAGAGAACACCGCCTGGACCTCAGCATGGAGGGGCCCCTCTTCTGCAAAAATCCCCCCCTCCGCCAGCTCGCCTTCCGCAGGTGTCCTCTTCGGCCCTTCAGTGGGAAGGTTCACGGTGACAGAAGAAGGCTGCACCCAGCCTGGGCCTCCACCTTCCTCCTCTTTTGTGGACCTTCTGTAATTCTCCCCATCGCAACCGGTTTTCCAAGCTTTCACACAGATCAGCTTGTTTACTCTCTCCACAGAGCCAGTCACAGACGCGACAAGTTCCTCTTCCCCCGTACGAGTTCCACGGCCTCACGTGAAGCCCATGTCTGTGATGGCTGTCGTCCGGCACCAAGCGTGTCTCGGTCTTGAGTCTCAGGCTGTCACCCAGACGCTTGCAGGGGAGGGGAAGCCTCGCCTCCATCGAGGCCCTGGTGCCAATGAGCTCACACAAGAGCAGCTCTCCCAGGTCAGCCGCACCTCGATAAAACTGGGGGAAAAGAATGTGGAAAGCGTTTGCTTCCAGAAAGACAAATCGGTGGAACAAGTGAAATGGTCAGTTGGGATGGACTTTTTTTAGTAGATCCATCCGAATTGTATAAATTAAATTGTACGCAAACCTGGTAAAGGTGTATTTTAAAACTATGCAGAAAAAAATAAACGATGCCATTCAATGGTTTTTAGTATATCCATAGAATCGTGCAGCCATTAGTACTGTTAATTCTGGAGCTTCCTCATCGCCCCCCCAAAAAACCGTCCCAACCAATAGTCACCCCCATCCCCCTCCCCCAGCCCCTGACAACCACTGGCCCACTTCCTGTCTCAGTCCTGGACACGCCACATACATGGAATCACACACTGTGTGGCCTTCTGTGTCTGGCTGCTCTCTGAGCATCGTGGGTTCAAGGTCCATTGTGGCGC